TATATATATATATATATATATATATATATATATATATTATTTCCATTGAACTTTTTAGCCATATCCCAAACAAAAATTATGATCGGCAATTCCAGTTTTACACTTCTACATTATATTTTCTTGTATTTTTATTTTTATATTTGTTATACCAATTATAATGTATGTTATTTGACCTTCATTATGTTTTTATAACTCTTTGGACTTAGTAATTTTTAGAAAGAAATCGTTGGAATGAAGTTTGTAATTTTGAATGTATTTGATTTTTTATATTTAGCGGGTACCCGTGAACCGGACCGTGGTTACCCGCCATTATACGGTTCGGTTCGGTTCAGTTCGGTTTTTTTGCTAATTCGGTTCAGTTTCGGTTAGTGGACATGAAGTACCCGCCCCGTGGTGACGGTTCACAATTTTATTATTATCCGAACCGAACCGCCCTGTTAACACCCCTAATTGGAAAGCAATGCCTTCTTTCTCAGTTAGCCATCTCCCAACTTCTTTCTCGGGCAGACCTTGCTTCTTGAGTCAGACGCCAAGATTTTGTTAATCAAACACCTTTCGTCTGACCGAGTCAGCCGCCTAACTTTTTGTGAAATTGTTTCTCTATCTTTTGATCAATTCAGCAACTATATTTAGGGATTAGAGTAATTTTTTTAGATTAGGATTTATTGTCTTTTTTCCTATAAATTTTGTTTTCAATGTAGGAACTATTTAGTGTCTGAGGAAATATTGATGTTTAAATACAAATTTGTATATTGTCTTTGATATTTCTGTTTTTTGTTATTCATTGATTATAGTTTTGGTTATTAGATTACATCAGTACAATTAAAATTATCATTTAACTGAATTTCAATTCCTCTTGTGACATCATTTTGTTTGTAGATAATTAGTATATTAGCCATGTAACATATTTTGTCTGGTAATTTTACTTTTGTACTCTTATGTTGTGTGATGAAGTATAGAGATAATTTTTGTATAATTGAGAAAAGTTAGAGGACCAAGTTGTAAATATTGGCCGAAGTTGTTAAATGAGATTTTGGTCGTAACAAAATTTCCCGCCCGTTTATACTTCAATCAGTATCATCGTCATATAAACTATCAAATCGTCTCAACGAAGTTGCAGAATCTTTTTTCTTTCTCTCCATAAGTTCTCTGTTTCTATTTTGTATCGCCTACCATTCTCAGCTCTCTCATAGCAAGAAAATGGATGAAGATTTTGTAAGGGACTCACGAAAGGGGAAGGCAAAGCTTGAAGAAGAAGATCCAGATCCAAATCCGAACCAAAATCTAGACTCTCTACTGCCTATACCTATACCCAAAAGCTATAGCAATTTGGGGGAAGATGTCGTTTATCTGAAAATTGTTGGTAAGAAGTTTACAATTGATAGTGAAAGTATATTATAGCTCATGTTCTTGTTTTGTATTTTACTTCTGAGTGAAAGAACTGACTGATACCTGTTCGTTTTGTGTTTCAATTGAGTTCGATTGATAAAATTAGGTTTTCTAGTGACGATTTCTTGAGAATTTCATCCGTTTTTTTTTTCTAATCTGATTCATGTGTACGATCTTGTTATTTTGACATCAAAATCGATGATTCATTTGAAATCCTACTTTCGTGCTTCTTTAATCGATATACAGTATAGTTCTTCTTAATTTAGTGTTATCTGTAAGGAATCTTCCCAATTATATACAATTGCTGTATGCGTGGACTTTTTGAATCGTTTAACATCGTTCAAGGTTAATACATCAATGAAATTTGCCGATTAAATCACATTCTCTGTTATCAGGTCCACCAAGAAACTATGAAGAACTTACAATCGATACTCCAGAAGAAGTGAAGAAGATACAATTCAGGTTTCGTTACAAAGAGGTAAGTAATCAATCACCCTTCATTTTCCTTTTCTACATAAACCAATCTTTCTCTCTTCATTACACGAATCATTCCAGTTCTCCTTTCTTTCGATTCTTAGTTTAACAGGATTCTTGGGATAGATGATGAAAGGATAATCAACATTCAAAGTGTCTCAGGAGCCACAATTGGGATTCTATCTGATACTGCAGCCAAGATTCATCGCCACTTATATCTAGAACTTCTAGGCACAGCTGATGAAATCAAAATTGCTGAACTCCTCATTACAGATGTAATCACAGAGGTAAACAACAATTCAAGCTTTCAAGACTTTCAAGTTTCAACATCTGAAATCTTTATAGATTTTTACTAATTTTATTTAAAACCAACATTTTTTTAGGGTTATGAAAGGCCATTTGTTCCAAGAGCTTTAATGCCAACACATATCTGTCATCATGCAACACCTATTCTTTTGACCCAAGTTGTACCTTTCTTGGGCTTCAATGAAAGCAATCTTTTGAAAATGGAATCAGAATCCAATACTTGGATAGAGGTAATGTTCATACATAATCTTGGTCAAATTATGGTCAACTGTATTCATGTTTTACTAATTATTAACATAAATATATATCCAGGTGGATACATATCCTCCTGATGAAGGGAGAATCATGGAGAGAATGGTCAACATATATGGTCAAGGGCTGGATGTTACTAAAGCGATCATGATAATTGACAGTTGGGTTTCTGAGGTGAGTTTATGTTTTATTTATTTGGTGATTTGATAATTGAAGAAAGATTTTTTATTGATTGTTTCTTTTGGTTTTTATTAGTTTGAAACAAAATTTAGAGTGAAAAGTGAACTTGTTGTTGAAGAAGTTGAATCTGATGAAGAATCTGAGAAGATGGAAGAAGATGAAAAACAGAAAGATGTTGAAGAAGATTATTTTGTAATGGAAGAAGGTGATGATGAAGTAGGAAATGAAGCAAAATGTTAATGAGAATAGAAAAAGAAGATGAAAGAATTTTGTTTTAGTGGTTAAAAAGAATTGGAAATTGTTGTTGTAAATGTAAAACATGGAAAGTTTTACAGGAAGAATAATGGGTTTTTGTGTAGGAGTAAAAATTGAATTTGTTTCATTAGAAAGAAGAAAAAAAAGTGTTACATGTATAGTCTTGTTGTGTAAAAAAAAAGAATTAGAAAATGAAATCAAAATCATACTGAATAAGAATTTGCATATCCTAGAAAGTGTTATAAAAGCATATGGACAAAAGGCTCATCAGCCTAGTTATATAAAACATCAATGTCAAAAAATGAAATCTGTTGATCGAAAAATAGGCAAAAGAAATCAAAATAGAAATTCAAAAAAATTGTAATGGATTTTATTGTAGTTTTTTTTGGTAATAGATTATTCGAAAATGAGTAAAAAAGGCTAGTGTATATTTTACTGCCATTTACCCTAAATTAATATTGTTATGGTAAATTTGTTTGAAGCATTCATTGTAATTTATAAGAATGGATGATTATTTATGCAAGATTAAACATTTTCATTTTTGACACCTAGTACATAAGATTAATTGTTACAACATATTCATAAGAACAGTTGAAGGAGTTATTTAGGCTTATTGCATATGTCGGGGGCATGGTGGTGATGTGGTAGCCTCACCTACATGCTACACCAAGACAAGACTTACAAACAAAAATCATCATATGTGGTGAATGTACCTTGGTTTGGTTTTATAATTTTAATATATGTTTAACACTGAATTTTTTTGGATAAACGAATATGCATATACACATATTATACATAATATGTGCATTCGATCAAATGAAAATGACTACGAGTATGTTTGAATCTACTAAAATTTGTATCTGTTGACTACACATGCAAATTTCAAGTTTTGAGAAATATGGTTAGTGCATCCACAGTATAATGTACAGATGCATGGAATTGTTAAATGAGGTGGAATACATAGTTGAGGTAAAAAAGATTTTAGTTTCAATGCCCATTGAACTCTTAAATGAGAAAATGATTAAAAAAATAAAATATATATTTTAAAAATATGATGAATTTTGAAGGGAATGAACCTCATGTATGGAATTGTATCTAGGAGAAGAGTTTCAAGATAATGATAGTTATTTAGGAATCACATAAATCCCAATAGCAATAATGGTAACACATACTTTAAGATTTTGCAAATCCCATGATCTTTGGGTGGAATCATGTTCCCATTCTTGGTATTTTGCTCTTGGTAGCTCTTGCCATATCTCCTCCACCATGTAACTATAAAGGAAATAATATTTTCCATTATATTTAGTACATAATTGTTTCCTTGTATTTATCTTTTCTTATTCTAAGCCTAACAAACTCCAACTGTAATTGGGATCTATTTATATCCCCTTCCTTCCATGAATGAAAGTAACGTGACAGCTTGTTCTTTGTTTTCTTGATGGTATCAGAGTAGCATATTGCATCCTGTTAAACAATAACGGGAAACCTCCCACCAGGTGGCTCCGGTGTCAACACCAACCCGTCATCTGATCCTAATTCACCCTTCTACATCCATCCCATTGATCACCCACGAAAACCTTGGTGACAACAATTATGCCGACTGGTCCAGAGAGATGAAGGATTTTCTTTTGGCCAAAAACAAAGTCAGCTTCATTGATGGAACCCGAGCAAAACCGACAGAAGAAACGAATGAGTATAGAGCTTGGCAACAAAGCGATGCCCTGATAAAGGGTTGGCTTACTGCAGCCATGGAGATAGACATTCGAAACAGTGTCAAATATGCCACAACCGCAAAGTAGATCTGGGATGATCTTGAAGAAAGATTTAGAAAGTAGAGTGCACCCCGTGCTTACGAATTGAAGCATGCACTAACAACGCTCAGATAAGACAAACACTGATTCCGTTTCCACGTATTTCACAAAGATGAGGGCAATCTAGGATGAAATCGTGTCTGCTTCACCAACACCAAGTTGTACCTGTTCTTGCCATCGGAAAAAGATTAATAGAACTAAAGACAAAGAATGGGTTTATGAGTTTCTGATGGGTCTCGAAGATACCTTTGGAACTATAAAAGAACAGATCCTTAGCACCAAACCTATGCCATCACTTGGAGTTGTCTATCACCTGGTCTCAGAAGATGAACAACAACGGAACATATCTGCAACAAGAAAAGTCAATATAGACACTACAGCATATCAGATACGTGCTCAGAGCATCGTTGATAAGAACCAATTTGAGAAAAAGAACACCAGTAAAGAGGGAATGAAGTGCAAGCATTGTGGGAAGAATGGACACACTACTGATGGATGCTTTGAGAATATTGGATATCCGGATTGGTGGGATACACGTCGTAAAACTGTTGCTGATCAGAAAAGGCCAAATCATCCCAAACCAAAGGCAACAAACATTCCCATACCAGGTGTTAGCCTGGAACAATACTAGAAGCTAACGAAGCAGTTGAATGATGTGCAGAAACCTAAAATCAACATGGTAGGTAATTTGGATTTTCAGTTGCCTTGGGTAATCAATTCAGGGGCAACAAAACATGTTGCATGTCAAAAGTCGAATTTCACTAACCTAACACACCTAAAGAATGGAATTCCAGTTAGCATTCCTAATGGTGATAAAGTTCCTGTTCAAGGAAAAGGAGAAGATCAATTACCCAACAACATGAAAATAAATGATGTTTTGTACATTCCAAACTTTAGATGCAACTTATTATCGTCAACAAAATTACCAAAGATTTTAATTGCTACATCACATTTTTCTCTGATCTCTATTTCGTTCAGGACTTACGCTCGAGGAAGATGATTGGCATAGGGAGATGTGAGAATGGTCTTTACAACATGGAATGAATAGATAAAAGGGTGGCAGCTATGGCAGTCAAGACTGATTCAAAGATATGGCATAGAAGGTTGGGGCATGCTTCGAACACTAAGCTTCAACATATTGACTCGATAGGTAGCATTGTTGGTATTGAAAATTGTGACTCATGTATACGATCAAAACAAACTCGCCTTCCTTTTATTGATAGTTCAATAAAAACTAGTTCGTGTTTTGATTTAATTCACTATGACATATGGGGAGGATATCGAAATCCTTCAACATGTGGAGCTCATTACTTTCTCACTATCGTTGATGGTTTTAGTAGATCAACATGGGTATATTGGATCAAAAATAAATCTGATGCAAGTACTAGTTTAATATCATTTCATAATATGGTTAATACCCAATTTAAAAGAAGGATTAAGAGACTTAGAAGTGAGAATGTTTTTGAGTTTGTGTCGAACCAAATGTTGAATTTCTATGAAGAAAATGGAATTTTGCTTGAAACTTCATGTGTTCATACCCGACAAAAAAATAGGGTAGTTGAGAGAAAACATAGGCATTTGCTTGAAATAGCTAGGGCTCTCAGGTTTCAAGCGAATATGCCAATAAAATTTTAGGGTGAATGCACAATGACAACCACATATACTATGAATAGTCTGCCGTCAAGAACATTGAAAACAAAACCCCCTACGAAATACTACTTGGACACAAACTGTATTATGGACACATGCATGTTTTTGGGTGTTTGGTTTATATCAACAAAAACAAAGCGGGAAAGGACAAGTTCAAAAAGAGGGAGAGACCTTGTGTATTTTTTGGTTATCCTCAAGGACGAAAAGAATACCGAGTTTTTGATTTAAACGAAAAAAGAATGGTTGTGTCAACATATGTAAGGTTTGTTGAGTGTCATTTTCCTTTCCATAATAGTGAGTCTGATCATATCAAAAAACAACCTTCTCAATCATCAAACTACAATTTTGAGCCTATTTTTGATGATGAGTTACAACAGACCAATATCGAAGGTTCTGTCATGCCCACAACAGATCAATCTAGGCCACAAAATTCTGACATGGAGCAACCTACTCGCAGTAAAACCAATGATACTAGACCTAATGTAAATGACAATTCTGATGTTGAACAAACACGGAGATTTGAAAGAACTCGAACTCAGCCTCTAAGGTATGACGATTATAAAGTTGACTTGCCATCTTCCATTGACCATTCTCTCCCCAAGGCCAATTCAGCGACCTTGACGGTACACCCTTTGTCTAATTTTGTGGCTTATAAGATCTTTTCTAATGCTCATAAAGTTTTTTTGGCTGCTATAACCGCGCAAGAAGAACCTAGATCTTTTTCTCAGACTGCAAAATATCTCCAATAGAGAGACGCAATGCAAAAGGAGATATCTGCTCTTGAAAATAATAATAATTTGACGTTGACCAAACTACCCCCAAGAAAGAAAGAAGTTGACTTGAAGTGGGTGTACAAAATAACATACAAACCTTCAAGAGATGTTGAGCGATATAAAGCCAGATTGGTCGCCAAAGGTTTCACGTAAGTTGAAGGCATCAATTTCCATGAGACCTTTGCACCAGTTGCCAAATTGGTGACGATAAAAAACATTATTGATGTTGCTGTATAGAAGAATTGGTTTACCCATCAGTTAGATATGAACAACGCGTTATTGCACGGGGATCTTACAGAAGAGGTATGCATGAAGGTTCCACAAGGGTTTGAAAAGGAAGGGGACTCACGTGTATGCCGTCTAAATAAGTCTTTGTATGGCTTAAGACAAGCATCACGCAACCGGTACAACAAATTTACTAATGCACTTTTAGGCATTGGTTTTCGATATTCTCGAGTGGATAATTCTCTTTTCATCTTCAAATACAAGACCGTTTATGTTGCAACTCTTATTTATGTCGATGATATTATACTTCTTGGGAATGATACTGAACAAATTGCCAAGGTCAAGTACTATCTTAATAATAGATTTAGTATCAACGATCTCGGGCCTTTAAAATATTTTCTTGGTATTGAAGTGACTCATACATCTGATGGCATGGTTCTTAGTCATAAAAAATAGACTTTAGACATTTTAGCTGATAGCGGGTTTCAAGGATGTCGACCATGCTCCTTTCCAATGGAGCAAAATG